TTCTGGGGTTGCATTTAAGCCCCAACCCCCTCTGTCTTTTCACACCTCTCCTTCTTGACCTTGGAGTTGCTCAGTAAACTTCTGGAGCAGCCACATTTTCTCTTTTGATACTTCTCCCATCTTTCCCTATTGGGATTATAAACTAGTGTTTAACAGGAGTTTCATATACAAAAGTCTCCTTTTCTTACTTCGCTCTTGAGCCTCTCATCTGAGACTCCAGAGCATATCTATTATCTGGTCTACAAGCTTGCAAACCCTTCTGCCTCCAAAGCCAGGGATGAGAGTGATAGCATTTTGAATTGCTTAACTGCCAGCGTTGAGATGGAGACTTCTAGACATGGCAGTAGATATGGAGAAAGAGATGTGGGGTGTGGGGTAACTTTACCTCCAGTTCTGTGGCCCCTGGGTGCCCTGTCCTATTTCTACCCCCTCAGCTTCTCAATGCACAGAATCATGGCCTGGCTGCCTGGCGGGTAGTCTTCTAGCTTGAGGGACCCCATGTGTCCAGGCATCCCGTGAACTGGTGTTGGCTGTGTAACTAACTGGCCTTACCCACCTCTGACTCTGACGAGCTTCATCTGTAGCATTTTTTAATATGCCAAGTGAGCACGTCACTGAACAAGTGGGGAATGTCATTTAAGGAGTGACATCTTGTGCTCTAGTTGCAGCATGAATTCTTCAGTTATAACCCCCAGCAATACTTCTACGTATCTGAAACCACACCGTAAAAAACATTTAGTAACCTCTTGTTCTAAAGCAGCTTTTGGGTACCATATCGAGATGCACCAGGTTCCCGTCATGGAGAACAGACAGCCTGCTGTTTACCTCTCCCCGTTCCACTAAGTTCTTGGGAGAAGAACCAGTGTGGGCCCATTTAGGCACCAAGAGGCAAGTGCCTGAACTGACAGTGAGCCTCTGTGTGTCTCTCAACTGGCAGAAGGCTGGAGTGTTTGGGTTAATGAACAGTTTGGTGCCAAGCACCCATACCACAAATGTTTAGCAATAGGAACAGATAGCCAAGTTATTTATCAAGTTCAAAGTTGTTTAGAATGGCCCATGCAAAGCTGAAGGAAAGAAGATCCCCGGTTGCTGGGAGGTGGGGAAGAGTGCCAATGCAGAAAGAACAGACGTGTCAGATGGATGTGACTTTCCCTTCCACCTCCACGGTATCCTTTTTAAAATGTGTTGGAGGCTGAGGGGTTCCTCCACATCTACACTGAGTGGCAGCATGCTGGCCGAGAACATGCAGGCTGAGCCGAGTCCTGGACCTGTAAATCAGGGACACATTTTAGCTCATCATACAAGGGCTCGCTCGTATGGATTAAATGAGTGAAAACAATAACAGGCCACTTTGTACAGATGCTTGGCACAGAGAAAGTGCTGATGAGTGGTTGGCAATATTAGTTTTAGATTATGGAAACGGACCATTGTTTGGATTAGGACAGTATCTCCCAGGGGGAAATATGCCGAGTTCCCCGAGGACTCTTAGATAAACTTGACTTCTGGTGGGTTCTAAGTGCACTCTCAGTTATACTCAAGTTCTGGTGAGCTCCTGTTAGAAGTCTCCCACATAACTGCAGGGTCATCTCAACTATGGGATGGGTGCACACGTCTCCATTCATAAATGAGGAGACTGCTACGCTGCTTCTCATCTTCACCCAGAGCTTTTGCTGCTGCTGTTAGTCAGATACTATACCTTGTATGTCTAACGATGGACCATGCATTAGAGATGGGACTATGTTTAGGGCTATACTGTTTTCCAGAAATAAAAAACATGCATTTTAAAATAAGTTTCCCTGAATAATCTCCCTCATCTCCCTACAAACTTAGTAAGTTAACTAGTTACAGAATTCTTTTCTTTTGCATTCTAAATGGTATATGTAGGTCAAGTTTTCATACAGTACTTCCCTGAACTTAAAAGCCTTTGAGTGACAGGTGAGAACCACGCGTTTAGGCGAGTCTATCTATAGCATCCATTCATTGCAGTCCCTTGAGGCCACAAGCTATTTAGGGCACACCTCAAATTCAAAGCTAGATGGGCTTCTGCCCTTAGAGATTGGTCATTGACCCTGGAAGGGAGGGGTCTGGGCACCATCTTGGCTTGGGTTTGCTTTGCCCTCACTAACTCTGGGCCCAGGCTCAGAGGGGCAATATATCCCCTGTGAGGTCCAAAGTCAGTCAGGCCGCCAACAGAATCCATACGCTCATGAACAAATCAGGCACTTGGAGTACAGGGATATCCTTTCTCAAAATGTCTTAACAGAGAAACATCGAAGCAATGTAAAACCCCGATAGCATGGAAGAGGCTGGCATCTGGCTTTTTTCTCACTGCGTTATCTTGAGACACCCAAGGTCCAAAACCAGGTGTGCTTCAGGATCGTGAGGGAAGCATTTGGAAATCAGTATGTTGAAATCTAAGTGTTACACTATTTTAGCTGGACTGACTGATGTAAAATAATATTAACCCCAATGAATCCCGTTTGGGGGCAGAATGACCTGCCAGACTCAGCCGTGAGCGATGATGAACAGGGCTGGACCTGGGGGGGATGCCATCAGGAACCTCATCAGGTCTGCAGGTGACTCTGACCTCATATATGCCCTTGGGCGAGGCAGTCCTTAGGTTTTTCCACTGCCCTGTTTACTGCTCCTTCACAGCCCTGTATTGAGGGGATGGAGGCTAATGCTGAGCTGTTGTTTGGTCAAAATAAGTAAAAAAAAGCTGTCATTTGAATAGGGCTGGATACCACAGGTGGGTAAACCTGGACCTCGCTCCTTCAGGTTGAATTTCTTTTCAGTTTATGAATGAATAAGCAATGATGCTGTTTAAAAAGCAAAACCATTTCCTAAAGAGCCACAGGGACACCACAGATGCTTAAAAGTTATTTGACCTTCTCTTTGGGATTATAAGTCAAGTTCTAGAGCAGTGATCTTTCAGGAGTGTTGCCTCTTCATTTCACCAACCTAACAGATTCCAGTGAGGCTACACTGACTTTTGATAATACGTTTGTTTGAGCTCTTGTTTCACTTAGGAATACACCTTCTCTTTGTCTGGATGGCAGAATTCTGGAGAGATCGGTGATGGTACCTCCTGAGGCATAACCGGATTTGGGGACCACACAGTGTAAAAGCATGTGTTGAGTTTCATTCATTTGGTAGCAGGGCTGTAGGGGAAACAGCACTTTGATTCTGCAGACCCCGGCCGGCATTGCTTCACCTATTGGAGCATCAGTTTCTTCTTCCGAGAAATGGAAATACCAGCACATGCAGAAACACTGGGAGCGTGGCTCAGGAAACTGCCTACCCCCTTGTCAGGGATGCTCAGTATCTATTCATTTTCTTTTGCGTCTCCTCATCTAAGAATTCCCGTGTTTGGTCCCTCACTGGGTGTTTGGAGAGCCACGTTAAGTAGGAGCTTCTGGCGCCTCATACTGTATTATTACACACACTAGGGAGGCAGTGGATTGTGCCTTGAGGAGGCTTGGAAGGAGAGAAGGCAAACAGAGGTTTCTCAGCAAAGATCAGAGAAGCCCTCCTTGAAAAAATGCCAGGTTACTGCAAGGCCCTTTTTTTCTTTTGTCACAAATCTGGTTACTAAATAAACACTTGCAAATGGGAGAGACAGCTTGGGGGTGTGAGACAAGCCACCCACCATTCTCCACGTCTATCCAGAGAGGAAGCACCTGTCTGACACCTGGGAAGGAATGAAGGGAGCAGAGCCACCACCGAAGCTCCGAGGATCTCATGGGGCAGGGTCTTCACCACAAGCAGAACCTGGCACTGACGTACAAGGGACCAAGGCCCCTTTTCACACGGAGAGAACTCAGCTCATTGCTAACCCCATCCGGCCTGGAAGGTGGCAGGAAAATTCAGCCACGGAGAACGTGGGGATGCCTGGAGGTGTGGAAGCCCCACCCAGAGCCTTCCTCCGCTCCGCCTGCCGCCCAGCAAAGTCTGCCCTGTTGTTGTTAACAGGAAATCACGTCCCTCACGAGCGGGGCTTGCCTGTCACCTGCTATGGTGGTGGAACAGTGGGAAACCTCTTCTTTGTAGATGTAAAAATGCCACTTTTGTTACACCACACAGTTCCTGCACAGACTGGTAAGAGCCTTGCCGAGTTCTCCTTCAGCTGCCCTTCAGAGCACAGCTCATTTTGTTTCCAGGGATTGGGGCTCCAGATTCACCTGGAAAATCAACTCATCTGTGCAATGCACGGGAGAAGAGCAAGGTTTGTGCACAGACATTCCAGATTTCTGCCACAGATGCCTGAAGAGCAGGCACCCCTTCTGATCAGCAGGTAACATTTTATGTTATATTTCTGCTGGAGGATCCTAAAGCCGGATGGAGAAGGTGATGGCTCTCCTTGAGGTGACAGCATGACCGTGCCACTCACCACGACCTGCAATTCTGTCCCTTGAGCTCAGACTCTAGGGCTCAGCGGGTCTGTAGAAACCCAGGTAATTGGTCTTCCCTGCAGTCTTGTTCCTGCCTCCCCACCTGGCCCAGGAGACACCTGTTGTAGAGAACACCTAACTTTGCAGCCTAAAAGGAATTCGCAGCTCACCACTTCCTCTAGATGGCGCAATTTCCCCTAATTGGTCCGCAAGACACCCTCTTTAAAAAAGAATTAAAATCGGACGCCTTCAGAAACTACCCTGCATAAGAGCAGCTCCAAGGCCCCCATGAAAATCTCAATTTGAGGGAATTGATTCTACCTCCGAGCAAATCCAATGCCACTACATTAACAGGAAGCAGTCAAGAATTGCATCCCAAGGTCCCCACCTGGGCCAACCCCCCTAAATACACCTGTCCCCCTGCCCCGGCCAGTTCCCTGGGATGAGCCAGGGCCAGAGATAGTGATCCGCGTGCCTGGCCTGCAGTCCCCAACCACCCACTTAGGGACACCAGGGAATCCTATCCCTTAGCACTGAAGCAAGTTCCGCATTTTCCAGCGCACCTGCGTTCCCAAGCAAAGGACCACTGGGACCTGAGCCCTGACCTACCTCCCAGCCGACTTCCCGGGGCTCAGGCGCTCGTCCTGCGGCTGTGCAGCTGGTTTAGAAAAACCGACACACCACTGGAGGAGGGACTCGGGCGAGTCGGGGGTTCTCAGTGGGGCAGCCAGGTAACCTGCTCCATCGCAGGCTACCGGGAGGAGAGGGTCAAGCAGAAGAAAAGGATCTCCCAGCCCGCACACAGTGGAGACCTTCGCCGGGACTGTCGAACCACGCGCGCTGCCGGGTGCCTGGGGAGAGCCTTCTAGAAAAATAAGAGTAAATACCAAACCACAGAAACTTTACTACTGCCAAGAGCTAAAAGCGATCTAGACGCAGCAAAGCTCCAAATCTGGGCGAGATGGGAGCAAGATGAAACGTGGACCTAGGGGGGAAAAAACCAGTGCGGTGGCCCAGGCAAATGGCAAAGGCGCCTGCCTCCCGGATCTCGGAGTAGGTCCACCCAGCTCGAGCCCGCGCAAACCTTATCGGCTGCACTGGCCCCTGCGGCCCTCGCGGGTGGCGCGGCGGGGCTGCAGGCGAAGAGGGGGTGTCCCGCAGCCACTCGTCGGCCTCGGGGTAAGGAGGGAGGGGCTCGGCAGGGGTTGCTTCCTGCTGCCCCGCCGGATCAGCAGCAGCAGCCCGTGGCGCGCCGCCAGCTCCCCGGCTGCCTGCTTGCGAGCGCCTGGAGCTGGTCCGGGAGCGAACAGCTAGCTAACGCGTCCGCAGCGCAGTGGCTCGTGCTGCGCAGGCTTCTCTCAGGAGGCAACAGCAGAGCCCCTGTAGAGTTAGGTGGCTCGCGCCACCCCTTCCTTTGCCCGGCGCTGTCGGAGGAGGAGAGAGTGACAGACAGGTAATTGGTCCGTCTCAGCAGAAAGGAGGAGGGACCTGGGCAATTCATGGCGGCCCTTGGTTTCCGTCTTGCAGATGTGCAAAGACTGGCAGAGATCCAGGTTGGGGAGAAGTCCCGAGTTTGGCTCTGGGTGTGCTGAGTTCACTGCTGCGAGTGGCAGAAGCGTGCACGAAACAGTGGGGCTGTGTGTCTTGTGGAGTGAGAAGGCCGAGGTGGTGGCTCTGGGCCTGGACCGACGGCTCCAGGGCGCCTTTGAAAATGAAACTGTACACGCCTTTCCGCTCTGCCACCTTGTCCGCGTGTTGGTGGCTTTTCAGTCATAAGTGATCACTGCTGCCCACCGCTGATACAGGGTGCAGCGTGGGGGGGGGCGGGGCAAAAAAAAGATTTGGAATGGTGTCCAGAATTCAAAGTGTATAGGAATATTGGAGAGACATATAAGATGTCCTCACCGCCCACCCCCAGGGGGAAGAAAGGAATGGAGCCAGGCCATTGAGAGCTGTTTTGCATAGCAACAGTTTTGCAGCTAACCTCTGGAATGGTTATTTAACATATCTATAACCTTTAACTGGTTTCATAGATATGTTAAATAGCTGTGGCCAAGTTTGGAGCCAGGGAGAAGGGAGTAGCAGGGACTCAGGAGGATGTAACAAGGGGCTGCACTCCTAAGTGAGGTGCCGGTGTGGGAGCTTGGAAAAGATGGGCTCCAGGACATGAGGGGATAACTGCCCAGGTGAAAGGGAAAGCCACGCAGCTTGGCCAGAATGGAGGTCCCTGCAGCCAGGTGAAGAAGAAAGCCACATGCTTTTGGTGGAGTGCGAACCCCTGAAGCTTTGGTAGAAGAGGCCCACGCGGCTTTGGGGTGCCCCCTTTGGCCGCGGGGCCTGAAAAGCAAGAGAGACTTTGACTGGAACTGGGTACAAAGAACTCTTGCCAGTGGACCATGAGAGGATACCACAGTACTTTGGATTAACTAGAGAGAGATCCTGCCTGCATGGTGACACAGCTGACGGTGCCAGCGGCCTGCAACACAGACATGTGCTCTTTTCCTGATTTACGGTACCCGGAGTTGGGACAGTGGGAGAAGGGAGAGCTGTGTGGGTGTAGGTGTATACCCTAAAGGACTTTGATATTTTAGTGGAGGAGTTAGGCCTGAATAGCATTAAATAAACATTTTGTTTCCTTCTCACAAATCTCTGGCATTGAGAGATGTCTTTCCAATTGGCGGCGGACAGAAGGGCTCAGTAGATTTTAGTATTTTGTTTTTGGGAGGGGCCCTTGTTGTATAGCAGTTTTGGGCATCCCTAGGTGGGCCAAATATTGTATTGCCCCTCCCTCGGACCTCCTGTTCGGTAACACCGTCACCTGCCCACCTTCATTCAAGAAAAAGCAGGAAAGTGGCGGGGGAGAGGGCTGGCGGGGAGGGGATGGAAACAGGAAACTGTATCAGGAAAGCACAAGTTTTTCTCAGGCCCTCCACCTGTGTCTTGTGGGGTGCAACCGTGGTCACAGCCACACATACTGGAAAGGCAATCTGGGGAGCACACCGTACCCCAGACCAAATCAAGGTTCTATTCACAGGGTATAAAGAGGAATGGGTAACCACACAATGAACATACCTAACATGCTTTTCTCAGCCAGAAAGAGGTGTTGATGGGCAGCTGAGTATGTGGGCCTCAAAGCCCAGGGCAGGCAAGGATGAAACATCGCGAGGTCATGATTGTAGGAACAGAATCAGGGCCTTTGCAGTCAGGTTAGACCCTCCTCCCCTTGAGGTCCCAACTCCCTGGCCTGCCTCCCTCTTACCTCGAGTCTCTCTGTCTGCTTGGGAAGGAGTACGACTCTGGCAAGCGCTCTGCCTCTGTTTCTTTGCTAGGGCCCTGGCTAGCCCTCTGCTGTCTGCACCGTCTACAGCAAAACCCAGTTTTACGACAGACGCCTCCCCAGGCCAGTGCACTGGCGTCTGGTGATGATGCCTGGTAGAGGTGAGGGCGGGGCAGCTGGATGGCAGGTCTGACCCTGCTGGTGTGAGCCCCCTGCGGTGCGAGTTCCTGGCAGCCCCTTTTGTGCAGCCCCTGGAGTCCCCTCGGGTTTGCCACGCCTCCTGATGGGCCTTGTCTGCAGGTTTTTAATCAGCAGCCCTTTCCCATCATTAGGAAAGACATTAAATTAGGCTGGCTGATTGCCAAGGAGATGTTGGCCCTTGTAGACCAGAGAGGAGAGGGCTGCTCTCTCTTCAATTTGTCAGTCTTGTCTTTTTCTTGGAACACAGAACCAACGTGAAGGAGAACAAAACACAGCACACAAAAACAGCAAACACGCTGAGCTGCCCAACGATGCCCAGGAGAGGAGAGGGGGTGGGGACCAGGCCTGTAAATAGCGCTTTTGTCCACTGGGGGCTGTTAACATTTTAGATTTGAACAAATGGAGCTTGCTTTCTAAGCATCAAACCCTAAATGGGCCTTGGAAATTATTGAGGGATTTCTCTGGCTGTCATTATGCCGTCCCCAGATTCAGCAGGCTTCAGGCCCTGAAGAATTTCAAGCTCATGTGTCAGACACAACCTGGGCTGGAGACAAAGCAGAGGGCACTGGTCATTCATTAGGCCCTGTTCTCATGAGCACGTGGGCACTGAACCTGGGGCTGGTCCTGTGGGGCCCAAGGTTGGCCCACATGGGCATGTGGCCTGGGTGCCCCTGCTGGGTGGCCCTGTCCAGCAAAACGGCCCCTCTGTCCGCAGGGTTAGGCCTTGGCCCCGGTTCCTACTTTCTCCCTCACTTGGTGACGTTGCTGACTTCCTTGATTTCTGAAACGCCTCCTGGCAAGTGCTTTTCTGACTCCATCTTTACTCAGCCGGCATGAGGAATTCCCTTCCTTCCCCTTCCTCAGTCCCCGATCTCAGTGTTACTTTTGGAGGCCTGTTGTGGACCACTCTGCCTGGTTCTAGGAATTATAACTCACCCCCCTGGGGCTAAGGGCGAGAGACAACCATTGGAATGCGAGCCACAGGAGACAAAGCTTGTCTCTGGTAGCAAACACTGCCTCTGTTTCCTCTCCCTGCCCCCAAAGCTTGGTTGGAAGTCAATAACTGGTAAGACCCCTCACAGAGGGGGGCAACTTAAGCCAGACTCAATCACGTGGAAGGCCTTCATGGAAGGACTGTGGGGGGGGCTGTAGCAAAGAGCAATGGACTCTCGTCCCTGGCTTTGAGGTAGCCTGAGTCCCTGTGTCCTCTGGGAGAAGCGCTTCCTGGCTCTAATCCCCTTAAGCCTGAATACCTGTTGGGAAAGGTGCAGCTCCTTGCCTTGCTAGAGCGTGTCCTGGGGAAAAATTTGGTATCACAAAGACTTGCTGATAAACCTGTGAAATCTGCTCTGCTAAGAGTGCTTTCATTCATATGTTAAGGGTTTGAGCAGGAAACCCTAAAACTCTGTTCCAGACAGACTCTGACTCAGACTAAGCCCTCAGATCTCTTTGAAATGTTATCTACCGTTTGATCCTTGCCACCCTGTATTCCTGTGTATTACAACCCAATAAAAGCCTCTGGAAGAGGCGGCTCAATGTCTTTTTCCCCTGAGAAACTGGCCACTGCTCAAGACCTTTTTTCTCTGGGAAAATGGCCACCTCGCCTCCCCAAGCAGATCACAGCATGTCTCAGTCATGATTACTCTCATCTGTGGCACACGGGGGGACTTGCGAGGAAAGTCGCCCCCATAGAGGCCTGTGTAGGGGGTCACTCAATACCTTTGTTTTACCTAGATTTCACATTTTTGTCTTCATTGCAGATGATTTATTTTCAGTATAGATATAAACACTACAAGCTGAGATGAATTTAAAATCTGACCTTGCCAGGATGTCTCAGCTAGGCCCAGGCAGAGTTTGGAAGCCTTAGAATGGAAAGTGAGAGATAAGAACTGGTGTATTCTCAGAGGGGGAAATAGAGGCATAGGAAGGGAGGTGTGTGTGACCCAAGACCCCACAGCCGGCATGTGATAGATCCCATTCCAGACCCTGTGGCCCATTCCCCCGCATGCCAAGGGCCTGCCATTTGTCGTAACAACTCCTCTCTTCACAACAACCTATGCAGTTGACCTTGAACTTAGGTTTGAACTGTGTGGCTCAATTGAAAAAAGTCTGCATATAAATGGACCCCCACAGTTCAAACCCGTGCTGTTCAAGGGTCAAGTGTATATACACACTGCACTACCACTCTCCTCATTTGTAATAACTGCATGATATTGGCCTTGGCCCAGCTCAGAGAGGCTGGTGGCCTGATCCTGGGTGGACAGTTAGGAGCTGATGCTCTTGAGCACATGCTGGGGGCCCTCCTGTGCCTGGTGTGAGTAAAGAGCCAGTCACTTCTGCTGACGCGCAGTGAGGAAGGCGTCTGTCTCAGCCCAGTGTTTCGGAAACAGCCTGGCTCTGACCAGATGCTCGTAACCGCTGTGCGGTGCTGCCTCGAGTCAGACCAGCCGGTGTTCCAGCACCTGGTCTGTTGTGGAGAACAGTTTCGGGTCCAAGGACAGCGCAAGGGCAGGAAAGCCACACGGGATTCCCTCACTTTTCTGATGCCGTGGTCCCAAATGCAGGCACTCTGTGCTCTGTGCCAAGGAGTCGGTTCTCCCAGAGAGGGGGTAGTTAGCTGATAGAGGAAACCGCCTTCCTGGCTCCATCCTCCCTGTAGGAGGCTTGGTCTTTTAATCCTGCCCTATCCTGTAGTTTAGAAGAATAGCAGTAAAGAGGACAACCGAAGCCGGCTGAATCCACAGGGAGGGTCCTAGGAAGCAAACTATAATTATCCACGTGAGACTGGGAGAGGGATTTGAGTTTTATAGCCTGATAATGTTCTCTGTCCCAGAAAGTAGTGTTACTGATGTCTCTCTGCTAAGGGTGAGGCCAGCAGCCAGGTGCCTCCTGGCTCATGTCCAGGTGACTCCTAAAACTGCAC